GCATCGGATGTTCAGCTTCTGAAAAACGTTTGAAAACCGGAACACTTACTTCCGGGTTTTTGGTGTTTGGGAACCAAAGCGTTTGAGAACCAAGTTACCACTATACTACTTTGCGTACAGAGGCTGTATTCAAGCAGCACTTTGTGCCATCTTTTCAACATTTCTTTACCTGTTCATTTTCAAGTTTTATGTGATCTTTCACACAACATAAAAGCCGCTTCTGGAAATCTAGTAGAAGTTTAGTGCCCATTTCTGGGTTAATTGTTTCCAGGATAGAAAAAGCAATTTGCAACCCCGTTAACTTGGAGATTTGTGTTGTAATTTTCCTGCGGTTTTCACAATAGCGCCACCACTGCTTGCATTACAAAATTTGGATTGGTGGTCTCAGTACACACAATTCCTTCCCACCATCTGAGATTTAAAATTTTAGTGCAATGTGGTGGTGTGTCAATCAAAAAGCCACCGTTCCGTGACACAACACAACAAGAGGCAGAAGCACTAGCATTATAACCAGGAAAACTTATGCAATAAGCCCCCTGTCTGAATGTAGCCAGAAGCAAGCTACAGGTCAAAGATACAGGTGCTTTTGAACTATGTTTGCATCTGTTCTGAAACATGGTATTTATATTGCTGATTCAATGTTCCAATATACAAGCCAAATTGAGACAGTCAGCGCTGGAATTGACTGTAGGTAAGGGAAATAGTACTTGGGACGTGGGTGGTGCTGTGGGTTAAACCATAGAGCCTAGGACTTGCTAATCAGAAGGTCAGCAGTTCGAATCCCTGCGACGGGGTGAGCTCCTGTTGCTCGGTCCCTGCTCCTGCCCACCTAGTAGTTCGAAAGCACATCAAAGTGCAAGTAGATAAATAGGTACCACTCTGGTGGGAAGGTAAATGGCGTTTCCGTGCACTGCTCTGGTTCGCCAGAAGCGACTTAGCCATGCTGGCCACATGACCCGGAAGCTGTACGCCGGCTCCCTCGGCCAATAAAGCGAGATGAGCGCCGCAACCCCAGAGTTGGCCACGACTTGACCTAATGGTCAGGGGTCCCTTTACCTTTACCTTTAAGGGAAATAGTGGCAACAGAATAAGAACAGAACTAAACTTGCTGGGTGCAATTTTACACAGCAGAAATACTAAAAGTTATTTCAGAAGTTAAGGTTAGCCAGCCTTCTCTGATATTCCATGATTTAAACAGGGACCCATCTTGTTGAGACCCACTAACAAAACACACCTACAAAAATCCAAACCAGCCTACTTCATTGAGTTCTTGCAAGAATAAAATGAGAAAAGAGGCATGCATGCCATATTGAGCATCCATGTAAATGGATGAAGGAAACCCTCACTAATTTACTACTACTGGTTGAGTTCTGGTTTAGTCATCAAATGCTGGGGACCCGACAACATCTGATTAATCCACTAATGGCAAATCTACCAGGTAAATCTGCCCAGTTCTATGCCAAGTTGCTTACTAGACAATGAGACTTCCAGTGTGACTTTGGCCATTGCCAAGTTTCTGTCCCTGGTGGTCAGGATCAGAGATCGATATGTATTAGACAAAAGTCAGAAACTAGCATTGTCTTATAATTTGTCCTAGTAGTCTGTGTGCTTTCAATGTATTTTATATGCATTGAATTTCATCAGGTGGGTCTTTGGGCCACAAAGCGTGTTCTCCTTCATGGAGAGCACGTGTTGCGGTGGGGGCCGACAGGACACTCCAAAGTTGTAGGGCGGGCTAATTGATCATTGGCCACTGATGTGATTGGGTTTACCTTGTTGTTAGGATGAAGTTAATGTTGCCATTTGTTGATTGAAAGCCAGAAATACTAAAACTCCCTGCATGAGGCGTAGAGCTTCCTCTTTTCGCCCCGTGCATCAGATTGCCCGTCCCCCCTCCCTAGAATTAGGGTTGTTCGCTTTGACCTTGCTATGCCCGTCATGGGGTCGTCTGCCTTTGGGGCGGGGGCCCGGTAGGAATTTTGTCCATCTGGCTGATTGGCTGGGGCCATTTGGTTTTTGCCTACTGCGTAGCAAATCGTCACAACTTGTAAGGTTGCGGTTAGGCATTGGTTTATGGTTTGGTTGGTTGAGGGGCATGGATTGGCTGTGCCTGCCCTCTAATGCTGCTGCTGCAAGGGATTCCATTAAAGGAATACAGGGGCTCACTATTGCTTTTGTCCACCCTGTCAAGGGGCTCGGGCCACGCAAGAGCCCCTGGTTGCATTTGGGTAGGGCTGAGGGCAGGTTCCCTGCTCTGTCGCTACCCCCAAGTGTATTCCCTTTTTCTGACTTTCGCAGGCGTGCGGAATGTCAGACTGTCCCCCACTGGGGGGCAGATAGTCGCAACCAATGCCTAAGCGAGCACTCACATTTTTGTATTTTAATAAAGTTGTGGACAAAATTATGCCAAAAACCTTAAACAAAATTTCTGTGTGATGTGTGAGTTATTGGGGTGGCCCTGGGGACCTCGACACGCAATAAAGAATTGCTGTTGTAGTAGTCATCACATCACTTAAGGTCAGTGACTATATAATTCAACTGCCTCAGTTGTGAACATATTATAGGAGCGAAAATCAAATGTTTGTGTGGCCTTCCACATTTTGAAAGCCTCTCTCCACATTTGGAACTAGTATGCCATGAAGTTCTCTAACCCTGCCTTCTCCCCCTGACATGTGGTTTTGCTTCTACATGAGGGACTCATCATGCAATTTCCTCCACCATGCAATCTGCTGTTTTTTTGTAGACTGAGATTTAGAAGTCAAGAAATATTTTGCAGCTGCCATTAACAGATCTCCTTTATTTTTATTTTATTTTATAAAAATGACATACTTCAAACCAAGCATAAATATTTCCAGAAAGTAATTTGTTTTTTCTAGTTTAAAGCAAACCATCACACTGAATCACTACAAAGCACTGGGAAGCTATTAAAATGATGAAGACTCCAATAATAGTAATAGGCATTAATCAGGCAGTCTATTGAAAGGACGGGTTGTTTTCTGGTTAAACCTTGCTAAAGCACCACAAGAAGATGAATCTTTAGTACACTAAGCATCCCTCAAAGGACGTCCTGACAGCAGAGCATATGGGGAAGGAAGTTCAGCCTTCAGAAGCTTCTCCTCCTCCGGTTTCATTTAATTACAGCAACCACTTTTCAAATCTATATCTGGAATTGAGAATTAAATATTTACATAGAGAAGATCTTGAGAGAGAGAGGATATTAGGGAAAACGAGAGAAAACAAATGGCGCGCCAGTTGTAGAGAAATAAAGCAGCATTTCCAACATCTGAAAAAAGGCTGTGAATATATTGGGGCACAAATCTCAGATTAGTGGGTTTACTGAACTCAAGTCAATAATAATAATAATAATAATAATAATAATAATAATAATAATTTGTTTATACCCTACCCATCTGACTGGGTTTCCCCAGCCACTCTGGGCGGCTCCCAACAGAATATTAAAAGCAAGATAAAACATCAAACATTAAAAACTTCCTGTTATGTATTCAGTGGTCTGTGTTTGCCTGAGCTTGAGTCTGGACGAAGGAATCTGAGCTCCTGTGTTCTGATTTGATATATGATATCCAGTCACAGAACATTTCAGGATTTGGGCATCTGCCATTGGCCCTTAAATTCTGAGTCATGATTCGCAGCTTGGAAGTTTAGACAACCAATCACGTTGAGAGTGGGATTGGCCCAGGCCTTCAGAAATGTATATAAGCAGTTGCTTTGCCCCTGTTGTCCAGCTCTGTTCGTTCAATAAACGTTCTTGCTGCTATCACTGTGTCTTGCCTCGTGGGAACCCACCTATACTTCACTTCCCTAAACAGGGCTGCCTTCAGATGTCTTCTAAAAGTCAGGTAGCTGTTTATTTCCTTGACATCTGATGGGAGGGCGTTCCACAGGGCGGGCGCCACCACTGAGAAGGCCCTCTGCCTGGTTCCCTGTAGCTTCACTTCTGGCATGGAGGGAACCACCAGAAGGCCCTAGGGAATTCTGGAAGTAGTCAACAGTCCGGCCAGCTTGGTTATTTTTTTAAATCTTTTTTAAAAAGAAAAGAAAATGTCCTCCATTATTTTAGTCAATCATTCTTGACCATTTCTTTTTCCCAGCTGGTAGCATGCTAAGAGTCCAAGATGACCCTTTAATGGGGAGGTTGGACAGCAACTCCCATCAGCTCTGGCCTTTATGGACAATGGTCAGGCATGATGGAAGTTGGAGTCCAGCCTTAAGTGGAGGGCACCATATTGAATACTTCTGCTTTAACAGTCTTCACTGGGAACCACCAATAAGAAAAGGAGATAAGAATCCTGGCAGACAAGATTTTGGAGTGCAAAACCTCTACAGGCTTGACAATGACTACACACACACACCCATCTGAAGGGAGCAGTCAGAACAACAAAAGGTATAGTGAATTTGAAGAAGAAGAGTTTGGATTTGATATCCCGCTTTATCACTACCCGAAGGAGTCTCAAAGCGGCTAACGTTCTCCTTTCCCTTCCTCCCCCACAACAAACACTCTGGGAGGTGAGTGGGGCTGAGAGACTTCAAAGAAGTGTGACTGGCCCAAGGTCGCCCAGCAGCTGCATGTGGAGGAGCGGAGACGTGAACCCGGTTCCCCAAATTATGAGACTACCACTCTTAACCACGACACCACACTGGCTCTCATGACAGAAACATGCTGGGTTAAAAGCAGCAAGGTTCAGTGTCCCATTTATTGTGGATCAAAAACAGTCATAGGGGTTCCTGTTCCAGAGCATATTATCCAGACTAGGCACCCACTGATGTTTTTGCTCCAAAAATAAAAGAGGCCATGTTAGACATACATGTTTAAACATGTGACTAATGTCACCTAGCTTGGCCCCAAGATCTGGGAGATTCTGGGCAGATTTATCTGGAAGCCGAGTTGCAGCCTTGAGCATAGGGGTACACAAACTACTCTGGAGAACCTTGCATGAAGAAGAACTATCATTAGAACATCACATGGCACAAGAGAAACTTACCCCATTCTTCGGGTAGGCTATCCATCCAAGATCCCCCATTACTGATCGAGAGTCCAATAAATTCACTGAAAAACAAAAAATAAAAAAAAGAATGTGAATTAGGGGTGTTGCAGGGGGAGGTAAATAATCATGGTTGCCACAGGAAACAAGCAACCATTTACTTTCTTTAATTCTATTCTAAAGGTAAAGGGACCCCTGACCATTAGGTCCAGTCATGACCGACTTTGGGTTTGCAGCGCTCATCTCGCTTTATTGGACGAGGGAGCCGGCATACAGCTTCCGGGTCATGTGGCCAGCATGGCTAAGTCGCTTCTGACGAACCAGAGCAGTGCACGGAAACGCCGTTTACATTCCCGCCAGAGCGGTACCTGTTTATCTACTTGCACTTTGACGTGCTTTCGAACTGCTAGGTGGGCAGGAGCAGGGACCGAGCAACGGGAGCTCACCCCGTTGTGGGGATTCGAACCGCCGACCTTCTGATCGGCAAGTCCTAAGCTCTGTGGTTTAACCCACAGAGCCACCCACGTCCCACTTAATCTATTCTACTCTAATGCTAAAAAGAACAACTGCTCACAGCACACACTCACAACCTCCATTAAAGCCAAGCACAGCTGGGGCTCTAGCGAATCTCTAGTCTAGCAGATGCCTTTATCCAAAAGCAAAGCATCCTGCCCTTAGCATTGTGGACCATATTTTCCTGAGCACGACCAGGCAGGGGAAGAGGAGAGAGAGAGGATTATATACTGCATGCACAGTAAACTCAAACCTTATGTGCATTTAACTTTTGTGCATTCAGCTTTACGCACAAGGCATAAAAATAAATAAAAAAGGGGTGGAAAGGGGACAGGCATCTGGGGGGAAAGACTTTGGCAATCCCACCAGCCATTGCACCCAATGTGTTTTGACTATACAGTGGTACCAGAAGTCCGCTCCAAAACCAAAGTGCTCCAAAACCAAGGCATGCTTTCCCATAGAAAGTAATGCAAAATGGATCAATCCATTCCAGACTTTTAAAAACAACCCCTAAAACAGCAATTTAACATGAATTTTACTATCTAACAAGACCATTGATCCATAAAATGAAAGCAATAAACAATGTACTGCAGTCACACAATCAATCAATCAATCAGTAGCTGAACTGGGTTCCACACAGTCACAAAAACAAACAAAAAAAGCCGCAAAAACAAAAATGCAAAATAAATAGCAAAAACAGACAGACCTCAACGTAACACTCAAAACACAAGTGTAACGCTCAAAACGGAGCATGTTCAGCTTCTGAAAAAAGTTTGCAAATGGGCTTGCAGCGTTCTGGTTCCAAGTTGTTCAAGTACCAAACTGTTTGAGAACCAAGGTACCACTGTACGTGGTTTTGGTTTCAGGCACCGATCCTGGGACATAACCCTTGTGTAAGTTGTGGGCTTACTGTATCAAATCATCATGCTGGACTATGTGCATATGTACTGCTTGCACTGTACAGTTTACACCGTACATTCAATTCGCATGTGGAAGGGTTGGGACCAGAGCTCAGTGGCAGAGCATTTAAGGACCTCAATGCTGGAGCTAGAGGTTGCAGCACTGTGCAAATTGGCTGCAACAGTATTACAGCTGGCAAGATTAACATAGCCCAAAAAATGCACTGTAGGGATCTTGTGCTCCCTTCCCCGTGGGATAAGAGCGTCTCCAGGAGAGGGAAAGAAGAACAGGATCAGACCAAAAAAATAGCAGGTCAGGGAGGCAAGCGGAAGACGACTCTAGAAAGCAGGTGCAAAAGGAGCGACAGAGAAACAGAAACAGCAAGACCTGTGGAGTGAAAGCGAGACCAGGTAGCAGCAGAGTAAGGGGTGGAGCTGCAAGAAGCTGATGTTTTGTTGCCAAGGCTGCCAGACTCAGACCCCAGGAGAGGGCAGAGTCTGGGATCTGGAATGGAGCCTGGTGAGGTAGAGGCAGAGCCCAGTACTTCTCAGCAGGGTCAGAAGATGTCACCTAGCACGTCCAAGACAGCAAAGCCGGACTGTCCAGCTGGCTGAAAAGGTCAAGCTTAATGAAACGTAGTGGGAGCAAATAGCAAAAGCTCTCCAAGTCTAGTAGAAAACAGAGCCCTGCCTTTGTTCTTCAGTCCCTTTCCCTAGAGTTTACACTTTTCCCTGGAAAGGAAGCTAGCCAACCACAATCACACATATATGCAAATCTTTGGATCGGACCCTAAAATCTGGTAGCAGTTCCATTTTGTTGCAGAAACAAATGTCTGCCACACAGAAGGAGATACGGCATTTGTCAAGAAAAACTGGTGACCAGTCCCAGGGGAGACAAAGCGCAAGTAAAATAGAGGCAGCCACCATGATGGGAGTTGTAGTGGAGATCTGAAGAACATCACCATCTTTGGCCAATAGACATTGGGGCTGATAGCGGCTGGAGTTCAACAACATCTGCAGGGCACAAAGTTGACTACCTTCAAATGATCTGAGCCCCAGGTAGCCTTTGGCTTCTAACAGTGAATCCATGATTTTGGGAATGGAGTTCCAGAACTGCTGTGGGGAAGGCCTAAAGGGAACAGTCCACCCAAGACTGATGGCACCTACCATCTTACTCCCAAGACGAATCTGTTGACAAACTGATTTCAGGCTTAGTCTGTTGCACTGAACAATCCATGAGAGAGCTGAGATTTATGAGAGTGCTTTGGGTGGCAAGTAGGGAGCACCCATCTTGCATTTTAGGATTTCAGGAGGCGGTGAAGCAGCAATCCTCGGCGGACTGCACCTTCCACTCTAGGTAGAATTGCACTCCGTTTTGTCCGCCTGAGCTGAAATCCGCAGCTTCTGCCCCAGCCAATTAACAGACAGTTTTGCATTAAATAGTAATAAACTACAGTATTCCCAAGCTTACGACATTTTTCTTGCATTACCTAAAATCCGTAGTCCAAACAGAGAGGGCATAATTAAAAAACGAATCTGCACACACTTAAGCAAGCTGAAGAAAATTATAGCAGCTTCCATTTTGGGCTTATAGATAACAGTCTGTTGAGCGTTAAAAAAAAACAAAAACCTACATCCCTGCTAAACTAACACAAAGCCTAATTTTGTAAAAGGGTGAAGGCATTACTTGGATGGCAACAAATTCATTTCCAATTCATCTTAGAGGCCTTTTGCTTTCCATAATTTCCTACTAATTTTTGCAGATATTGTTTGAAACTACACCAACCCCATCTTTACTTTATTGATAATTCTGTTATTAAAGTTACATAAGAACTGCATTAATCCTATTGTTCCATCTCAGCTCAGTGATGTCTACTGTGATTGACAATGGTTCTTCTCCAGGATTAGACAGCTGCCTATATTGTTCGTTCCTGGAGATGCCTAGGCTGGAAGCAGAGAACTGCCACATGCAAAGCATATGCTCTATCAACAAGCTATGGCCCTTCGTCGCACTAAAAAACCAAATCAGATCCAGTTATTGTGGAGTTATGAAGCATGCCCAATCTGGACCCTTCTGCTGTAAACAAAGTGAAATTGCCCGTGGTGTAATCAGAATTAGAAACCGTTCTTCTCAGGGAGACTTCCCACTAAGAGGCAATCTGCAAGCAAGTCACTGTGCTGCACTACTCTAAGAAATTCAGTAGGTTCATTTGAGGTTCTGCTTTTTTTAAACAAAAAAAATATTCAGCAAATGGCAACAAGACAACTATGGTGCACACTGTTCAGGTCTGCTCATTTTTTCCTTCTGGCACCAGGGCAGCAAGCAGCCAATATCTTTATCAGGAAGCACCTAAAACACGCTAACATCACATGAGGGCACACACACACTCACCAGACCTTTGTATGTCAGTGAGCATCTGTTTGGGGAAAATGACCCATGCCCACTTCTGAACTAAGCTGCTTCTCACATAACTGAATAATCTTCCATACAGAGCCGGCCCTTTCGTGATGCAATAGCATCATGAAGCGTGGGAGGAAAGGGAAAATTAGCACCCCTGGGCTCCTGGTTTCTTCCCATTCAAAAAAAAGGTAAAGGACCCCTGGACAGAAGTCCAGTCAATGGTGACTATGGGGTACGGCGCCCATCTCACTTTCAGGCCAAGGGAGCCGGCGTTTGTCCACAGACAGCTTTCTGGGTCATGTAGCCAGCAGTACTAAACCGCTTCTGGTGCAACGGGACACTGTGATGAGTGCCAGAGCGCATGGAAATGCCGTTTACCTTCCCGCCAGAGCAGTACCTATTTATCTACTCGCACTGGTGTGCATTTGAACTGCTAGGTTGGCAGGAGCTGGGCCAGAGCAATGGGAGCTGACTCCGCCTCATGGATCTGAACTGCTGACCTTCCGATCGACAAGGCCAAGAGGCTCAGTGGTTTAGACCAGTGTTTCCCAACCTTGTGCCTCCAGCTGTTTTTGAACTACAACTCCCATCATCCCTGACTAGCAAGACCAGTGGCAAGGGATGATGGGAATTGTAGTCCAAAAACAGCTGGAGGCACAAGGTTGGGAAACACTGGTTTAGACCACAGTGCCACCTGCGTCCCTACTTTCTTCTCATAAGCTGCTGCCCGCCCACCCACCAGGTGAGACTCCTTACCGGCGTGGGGCTCTTTAGAGCAATCCCCCCCCAAAAAAATATATTGAATCCTTCCCTAGAGCAAGACATTGTGGCTGAAGTGGACCAGGAAAGTGCCTTCACGGATAGAATTTCCTTTAAAAAAATATTTTGAAGTCTAGACGTAGTTAGAGATTTATTTATTTTTAAAGACACTGTGTGACATCCCATATACCAGGCATAGGCAAACTCCGCCCTCCAGATGTTTTGAGACTACAATTCCCATCATCCTTGACTACTGGTCCTGTTAGCTAGGGATGATGGGAGTTGTAGTCCCAAAACATCTGGAGGGCCGAGTTTGCCTATGCTTGCCATACACTCTCCTGCCTAGAAAGCCTTGCTCTGAAGAGTTAGAGAGCAAATGTACAGCAAACATTTTAAAATAGAGGAGAGGAGGATGTGTGGGGAAGGTGGTGATAGCTTATATACAAAAATTCCCCTTTTACTTAAGTTTGGCCCTCAAGAGATTGCTAGACTA